ATTTTGCGAATCAATCCCGTCGCAGCGGCACTAACGATTGTAACGTCTATGTTTGAATGGTATCTGCCCCGGTAAGTCGCAGGCTGGTGCAGGAGATTGGCGGTGAACAAATTATTCTTCCTCAACCATCCATACAACCATTCACCTCTGACTGCGTTGCCCCTACCCGTTGCTATTTTAAGCGCCGACCACGAACTGTGCTGCGCATTGCAGTCTGCACCAATAATTAGTGGAGAATCACCAACATGCTCCAAGACCTCATCGAGTCTAGCAAGGCTCAATTCGATGTTATCATGCCACTTCATGTAAACTGAAATTATGAAAACCGAAACCCCCCCACCTAGTGTTAAGCACACCCCAGCAAAGTTATCACCAACCAGCTGATCCATCGCTACTACGTCAACAACCCGTTTTCTTATGATAACCCCTGCGCCATCATATCTGGTAATATTAGTGCTCTGGACGAATTCGAAGCCCACCGGAATAGCACCCATATGGGTTCTAAACTGGTAGGGCTCCTGGACCAAGGCCACATCTATTCCATTCTTATTCATGTAGACAAACATCTCCTTGCATACTCTCGCACTCCTACAGCAATTGGTTTGGATGACCCTAATTATTATGAGTAAAGTCAATCCTCCTCAATGCTCTATCTCTTTCCCTGACATACAACGGGCACGCATCATTCATGGCTTGTAGTCTCTTCTCCTACCCACTCGCCAGCAGTTCACACATTCAATATCTCTATCACTCATCTTACATGCAGCAGCAAGGTGGCCCACGTGCCCACACTTGTTGCACGATGCATCCTTCGCCTTGCACTCTGTGACCGAAGCCCAAACATCTGAAACACCTTTGAACCGCAACATAATCCTTAGCTCGATATTTGTGCCAAGAGGCTCTCAACTAATTCTTGACCATATATTCCGTGACATTCTCCGTGTATTCTAACACAACCGTACCGCTGTTGGCCCTCCAGAGCACTTTGGTATTTGTAAACCCTTCCGGCATTTCATTGCATGCCGATAATTCCTCAATGATCTCGTCGTCTTTGCAAGTCTGATAGAAACCTCTTATGATAACTTTCGGTCTAGCACCCTTGGGTACCGTCGCTACTAGCCCCATACTCCTACATATGCCTGTAGCGTTTAACACCCTACTAGCATCAGCCTCGCTTTCTACTTCAACGATAACGCCGTTAGTAGCCCCTCTGGTGGCCCTCACTTTTAGGCCAGCAAGCGCCGGTCTGAGACCAGTGATTACTTTATTACGCACCTCGCCCGTACTTAAAATGCCTTTATCATCCTTAATAAGGATGACTGGCATTGTGGCAGCTGATCCCCTACTTAACTTAGTGGCTTCCACCTTACTAGCTAAGGTAGTCTTAACTACATTAGGCTTCCTAGAGCCTTTTACAACGCTGGCAAATGTGCCACTCGAGCCACCGGCAGGCGCCGCCCCTCAGGCCGCGGCCGACTTGCCCTTCCTACCCGCCATTATCCATGGATTAGACCAGTGATTCCCAAAGTGGTCTATATCGACCCCCAGGGGTCTATGACAACCTGCAAGGGGTCTACGTCAGCGAAAAAAAAATTTGGGGTCCATGAATTGATCCACGATAGTGGATCTCAACATACACT